GCCCTCCCCCCGCCTCTCCTAACGGCTTCTCCGGCAGTTCTTGCCTGTGTCCTCCTCAAAGCCTCCTCCACTCTTTATTAAAAGGCAGCCAACAATGTAAAAGGCATTTTTTTAATGTTTTTAATTAAAAGCTTTCTGTTTTCCAGGTGTTGCTGATCAATCAGTGAATTCACAGTGTTCATAAGGCAAGAATCTCCCACAGCTTTCCCCCTCCCCACGCTGTTCATTTCACAAGCGGGTCGGTGGTTCCAGTGCGTGCCCTTTTCCATGCGTGGCATTAGAACCCAGTGTTACACTAAACCATAAAGTTTTTATCTACAGCGAGAGATAAGCACTGCCAAGGCAAAGTCAGTCCCCTGCGCTGAAGTGCTGAGGTCAGAAACTCCCTACCTCAGTGCACGAGAAACACGGTCTGTTTCTGCTGAGAACATGCACGTCGGGCCAGAAGCGCACAAATAAATAAAGCTAAATTAGCTGCAGATTGAACAATTGGGAGTTTAAAGTTTGTCTTTTCTCCAGTTACCAACAAGTGCACTGCTGGAGAGTCACAGGACTCTCCACTCAGAATGTACCAAGATGCTCCCGGGTGTCTGTTCTTGCCATGGTGTCAAGAACAGCTTGACGTTCTCCCAGCCCCTGCGCTGCGTGCTGCTGCTATCAGCGTCAGCAGGCAGGGTGCTGGGAGCCCTCCCCGAACACACATGGGTGCAGCTCTGCTCCCAGTATAAACAAACTGCCAGAGGAACTCCCAGGTGACGTCTACAAACTGTACCATTACATTTAAACTGAGGAACTTTGAGGCCACAGTACCGAGGCAACTCGTGCAGCAGGATTAATTCCTCCCCTCCTGCAGGGGAGAGTAAATTCTGACTCTATAACTTAATAAAAGGAAAAAAAACAAAAACCTTAGTCTAGTTTCTAGCAAGGGAAGAAACAGCCACAAACCAGGCTCTAGTGGCGACGGATGCGGCTCACGGGTGAAAGATCCTGAAGCCAGCTCTATTCCAGTGTTAGGAGCTCCGAAATTTCTCCTGGGCGCTGTTTAAGATGCCAACACACGGTGACGGATTGTGGGACCCACTCCGCTCCGCTGTGTTTTCATCTGAATTACACGGAGCGGGTGTAAACGCAGCAACACCGCGACCGTCGCGCCCGCTCCGCATGGGGAGGTGAAGAACCACCCAGGGACGTGCGGCTGTCCCACACGGAGCACCCTGCCCAAGCCCAGCCCCTTCGGAGGGATTCTCACTCCTATTTACAGAGCCACCATCAAGCCCTAATTCTTTTTCCCCAAAAAACCCAAAACTACTAGCTTGTACCGCGCCTCCCCACCACCCGCAACGCAAAGCTTTGCACAATTCTCAAATTTAAAAAAAAATAAAATACAGTACTGATTTTGCACAAACTGAAGAGGCTTAAGAGACCCAGCTCCTCCCTCGCTCTTACTCTAAAGACGAGGCAATGTAAATGTAGGTTTCAGCCAAGTGTTTTCCAGTTTTTTTGTCTTGGGAAGGTGGGAAGCGGCAATAGATGCGCAGCAGCACGTTGTTGTTTGCTGCCTAAAAACTGTCACACCTTCAAAAGCATTTCCCAAAGACGCACACCTTCCTCCAGGCCTGAGCTGCACGGTTTGGATGGCTCCCCTAAGTCAGCAATTCCAGTACAAATCCCTACGCAACATTCCCACGTTGGCCTACCATAAAAATAAGGAAGAAAAAGGGGAAAAAAGTACCTAAACCCCACTGCAAGGAGGGTTTCTGTTAGCCCAGGTCTGGAGCCAAGTAGGTACTGCTGATGGCCAGCAAAAATGCCAGTGGTCTTCCTGGCTTCCTCTTCCTCCACACCTAGTTGCTCCCAGCCCGGCCAGGTCGGAGCTCAGCGCCTTTGGCACCGCACTGCTGCAAAGCTCTGCTCCAGCTGACCCCCCCCGGAGCGTGGTGCAGCACCCAGGTCTGGCAGGACCACAGGCAGGAGCACCCGATGGGTGCCGCTGGTCCGGGGGGCACAGCACCGCAGCCCCCCGTGCATCCCCACCTTTCCCATGCTCTCCCGTGGCTCCTGCACCCACCAACCCGAACATGGCGAGCGTGGGTGTCCTCACCTCCAAAACACCTCCCGACCAGCAGCGACCGCAGCCCAGCAGCCCGGGGGGCTTCATGGTGCCTGAGCTCGCCGAAAGCACCCACATGTTCCCGTGCCCCAGGGAGCGGGCGCTCGGCAAAGCTCCCGTGGGCCAGGGGAGCTGGCACGGTGCTGGGGGGAGCGAAGCAGAGCAGCCTTGAAACGAGCAGGTTAAAGCCAGAAACCACTTCCCAACTTCAGAGTCTTACAGGAGTAAGGCAGAGCTGGCCGGAGCAGCCCAGGAGGAAGCCCCCACCACGACGGGGACACCACGGCTGCTCACTTCTTCTCGAGAAAAGGGCTGAAAAGTCCCCAGTCAAAGGCCAGCATGGCCTGGGGATTGGGCCGCTCCTTGGGCTTCTTGAAGTTATCCTTCTCGGTGCGGAGGGTCCTCAGCACCTCCACCGGGTCCGTCTTGCCCGTGAACTTCTGCAAGGGCTCCTCCCTGCAAGGAGACCAGCTCTGCTGTGACCACGGGGAACGGGATGGGGACCCCCCTCCCCACCGGGACCCCAGCACACACCGGGATGGACAACAGGGGAGTCACATCCTGGTGCTGGATGCCTGCTGGGGCACACGTGCTGGGGCACCTGTGCAGGACCAGCCAGCCCGGGCCTGCCCCCCCCAGCTCGGTTCGGGGTTGACCCATGCCAGGGCCCGTCGCACCCCCACGGCACTGGCGCTGCTTACGTGACCCGCAGGAAGGGGTTGTAGAGGAACTCCTCCTGCAGCGTGGAGGGCACGGTGGGCAAGTCCTCATCATCCCGCTGCTGCCAAGGAACCAGAGACATCCCAAAACCCATCAGCATCCAACACCCCCCTCCACCCTCACCCCGGGCAGGGGCACGGCCACTTACTTTGGCCCACGCGAGTTTCTTCTTCACTATTTCATTCTCCGGTTCCACTTTCAAGGCGAACTTGAGGTTTCGGACGGTGCATTCGTGGCCGCAGAACACCTTCTGCAACACCAGCGGAAAGCACCCGGTGTCACACGTGCACCCAGTGCCAGGTCCGATACCCACCTTGGTCCCACTGCAGCCC